AGTGTAGTGTAGCGTGGTTCCGTGCAGGCGTGTAGCGTAGTGCAGTGTAGTGCTAGTTAGGACTTAGAAGGTATAAAGTAGTTCAAGGCGTCTTGCCTTGGGATTTTTCCAGTTTCGGAAGTGCAGATCAGGAACTCATTTTTCTCTGCGTGTTTGTGTCCTTAGTTCTGTCACCACGCAAGAGGAGCTACACCTTGGCGGTCCGCATTGTGTAGCTGAAGGCCTTCGGCCGAATGTTCGGAGCTAGTACACTAGTTAGAGACTTGAGTAGTTCGGATCTACACCTGCGGATGATTGCCGATGCTCAGAGCCAGTTACGAGTTAGATACTTGAACAGTTTCCCCCTTACACTTTCGAGTGACTGTTCCTGATTGTACTCCTTCGGGATTTTTCCCCCGAATGCCAAAGTGAAGTTTTGCTACTTCGTGTAAGCCTTGGTTGTAAATTCAGGTTACGCTGCACCAGGTGCCTTCAGGGCAACCCTTGTAGTATTTCTGGGAATGACAAGTGCCTAAGAATTCAAACTCTTCAATAGACTATTATGGTGTGCTACTGGATCGTTTCTCAGTTGAGTCCCTCCGTGCGGACCTGTGTTCTCTGCGCGTTTTGTGAGTTGAGAGTGTTGTTCACCGCGTGTGAGTGACTTCGATCCGAAGTAGGAAGTCCAACTTGGGACTCCCACGCTAGCAGAAGGCTAGTGGAAGGGTTGTAAAAGCCAGAGTTGGGAGTCACTACCCGCAGATTCGCTGAGTGTAATCGCGAGAGACTCCCCCCCCCCCCCCCCGAAATCTTAAGTGGAGGTCCTAACCGATCTCTAGGTTGTGTTTCTGTAGTTTCAGGTGTGTGTGTGTGTGTGTGTGTGTGAACTACGCGACCTCCGAGCGAGCTCCGAGTGAACACTTGCAGAATTTCTGGAAGTGACAGTCGCCTGAGAAATCAAACTCCTCAATAGTCTGTTAAATGTGACACTTTGTACTCTGTGTGTTGCCTCTGTCCCTGTGGGTTCGACCTTTCTACCACTATATTGCAGTTTTAGCCTTTGGTGGGTTATTACAAGGATCATGACTGAGATTGAATTACGAAGGCCTCGGCCTCGGATGCTTCCACACGGCAGCGGTAGCAAATCTATCACCACCCCCAACACAGCCCACAAGGGCTGCCATGTCTGCTCCCACTTCAAAGGATAGACGACCCTAGGCTCACTCCATTCGCGCAAAATTCTCACCCCAATCCTCCCTAATCAGATGCCCTCTACACTTCCACAGCTCCACGATCTCCTGATCCTAGTATTCAACCCAAACCTCCTCCTGCTCTTGCTCCTCATTCTCCTGTCCTAGTGGTGTCCAGCAAGGCTCCCGCATTCGTCCTCATTCCTCCAATAATCCCCGACTACCAACTGCTTCAACGCTTTCTTGTCCTCATATTCCTTCGTCTACCACTGCCACCACCACCACACAATTCTCCACTCTTCCGTTGTCTCCAACCAGCCTCCTCTCTACCTTTTACTAAGTCCTGTTGCTCCCAATTCTCACCACTATCTGCATCTGCGTACCGTGCTTCCAACCTAAAAACTTCTCCTAATGATTTTTACTGCCTAAAACTAGCGATTAGCACACACCGCACGCTTTTCCGGTTCCAATCGATTGACCGACCCGCACCCTCTTGATGGAAAGTCCTCTTTGACCGGCGATTGCTAGCACAGTCTGATCTTCCTCCGCTTCACTCCATCTTCCTTGCCTTTCCAGAGAGAAAGGCGTCACCGACTATGGTTTGAACCCTTTGAAAGCTCTAGAAATGCTAAACCTCGGAGTTTTGTTGCTTTAGAAGAAGCAAGAAAGTCTTCTTGCGTAGGTTTCCGTCTTGTCCTCCGTGACCTCAAGTTTCTTCTTGCCGAACACAATTATCAAAACCAGCCAGCTCCGATTCCAACCTCTTCACGCTACTGTTCTTCCTCCTTCAGTCCGACCTTGAAACCCAATTTGTCCTACCTCTATTGCAATCCTCGCTAATCAAACCTGCATTTCCTGCACTCAAAAAACCTGCACCTTACCACCCTTCGTCTGCGTACTCTCAGTCGTCTACGTCTTTGCTACATTGTCATGTAGTTACGAGTCGGCTCACGCAGTTTGAGCACTTACTATATTTAGACGTGGAGGTAGGGTTCGGGTCACGAGGGGTATACAGTCGGAGACGGCTCGAAGAACGTTAGTTCTTCGAGTCAAGCCTGAAAGCGTTGGGAGCGTAGAGCGACTTTCCTCTTTGCGTCGACCTAGATTCTCCGAGTGTGGAGTGGGTTGGGTTTGACTCATGTTTGTGACGGTGACGGTTTGTTACTAGTAGGGTAATCGACCGACGGGAATTCCAGTGGGGAATCTCCCGTTTATTTCACTCGAAGAACTCACGTTTTAGTTCTCATTTCCGATGTTTGACAGTAAGTCAATGGAAACAATTTCGAGGTGTTTGACTATGTGAGTGTTCATTAGTACTCTTCGTCGTTGGGCCTGAAGGTTGAACAAGGAGAAATTGCGTTTGGGAACCAAATTCAAAACGGATTTGACGAGGAAGAAGTGACCTGATCGATGCAATTAGCAATCTTCTGAAGCTAGAGTAGGAGATATTCGAGACTTGTCACGTCTCGCAGGAGGTGAAGAACTCGGTTTTTCTACCTTTGACGTTGTCATTGTAAAGGAAATTCGGAGCATAGATACCTTGAGAGACTTCGTCGTCCGTTTCACGGTGGTAGGGTTTCTGAGGTTTTAGGGGTTGTTTTGGAAATCCTGAAGGTGTGAGTGTTGCTAAGTCAACACTCGGATTCACAGCTAGTTGGAGCTTTAGCGTTTGATTTGTGCGTGCGGAATGTTCTACCACTACTGATTGCATCGCAGAGCTCACAACTCGGTTTGCGGCCCTTGAGGTCTTGCGGGAGAGTATTATCGTTGCTCTAAACTTCAACTACATTACGGTTCGTAAAAGTCAAGGACTGTGACGCATTAGCCATAATTTCTCAATCAGTGGTGAATAATTATTCCTCCTCTATTTACTTCGCCTCCCTCGGTGCCTGTTGTCCGTTGCCGATGCACTAGTAAACCTGATTGGAGTTTCAGGTCTTGTTCTATATTCCGAGCTATGTGACACTGGATCCGCTTTACAGTATGTTGCAAATCTGAAACTCCAGTGTACGTGTTGTGCTACACCTGTAGGGAGTCGAATCTCCATTTGTCATAAATCCTCCCCGCTACCCACGGAACGCAGTTTGCAGTCAGTGTTTGCACAACTTCGAGCGGAGGAAGAGAGTAATTACAATGGCCAACGCTAGAGTGTTCTAGGTCCAGCATGTCGGCAAAGCTATACAGGTGATACGTCAGAAATTGAACTATTGCCACACCAAATTCGAGACAAGGCAGTGGGACTATATATACGATGTGAAGTGTAGCTCATGGGGTATAATGTCCTAGTACGAAACAATATAGTGTAAGTGGTGTGATAGGGCTTGCTCACGGGCGGATTGGACACAAGACACATGGTCATGATGAAAGTAACACAAGTACTTGTATAGGGCAGATTAGGGGCTTCCTTGTGACAAATGCACTTTAGTGGTGGTGTTTACGGTGGTCTGTGACAGAGGTAGCAGCAGAGAATACAGAAGGAGTGGTGGAGCTCGTGAATACGTCTACTGTACCTATTGGAGATTGACCATCCTTTGATTTCTGGGAGCCCGAACTCTTCAAGACGTACTGATTCAAAAGTCATGTACTCGGTCCCACCACTTATCAACAGGGTGGTCGTCTGCGAGGGCTTCACTTTCTTGAAGGTGCTCGTCTTTAGTTCTTAAATGCTTGGATATTACTCTTAGGTTATGAGAGATCGTTGAATACGTCACCTGGAGATTCCATTCACAGGTTGTGGAAGGACATGGTTTTATACGGGGGAGGTCAGAGGTTTCTCAGGCTTTGTTACTTGTTGAAACCATGACACTTTACTGTAGAGTCGAAGTCTTGGTACGTGCAACTTACACTTGGCAATTTTGAGCGAGTCGAGTTTACTGTTTACTCTAAACTTCCAATTCTGATCTCATTTGACCTAGTATCAGTACGGTTGGGAGTCCTTCGAGAAATCTTTTTGTTGTTTTGAAAATAAACGAGTACTGAAAATACATTATTACATACACACAGTATTTTCAATACAACTCCTAGCATTTCTGGATCCGAACGTTTATATTTAATTGGTAGATTGTCACGAAAAGTAGCCATCATTGGCTAGCTGTTGAGCCAAGGATAGTAAGTGAGAACACCTAGTTAAAGTCTACTGTTACTCAAATCTACACTTCCATGACTATAAGATTGTTGCCTGCAGTAGAGCGTTGAAAATAAATGTCCGTAATTTAGAATTTAGGAGTACTATATACATTTGGTTCGTTTAGCTTGACACTAGAGAGTTTTTCTGATTAAATTTCCGAAGAGTGGAAAGATTATCATTAAGTGGAGGCACAAAGAGGATGGGTCGAAGGTGAAAGTCACTACCACTCTCAAGGTGAAGAAGCGGATCAAGAGGTTGAAAGCTGCTGTTATTTATAACAGCGTGTAGTTGATTTACATATTGTGGCTTTTGAGTCATTGGCAAGGTTACATATTTGGAGGACTTCAAAAACTGAATCGGTGGATGAGTCAAGATGAAGTTCTAGGATATAAATCAAAACCTTTAGATGGATCAGGAAAGGGTTTACAGTAAGAAAGGGCTTTGAATAAGAGCCACACTATCATATAGTAGGAGCCTGTAGGCTTGGCCACGGTCCGGTCCGGACCGACGGTTAACCGTCGGGACCGGTTAACCGGTCCCAGATTTCTCAGAAAAATTTCCGAATATCATAAATCAGGCTTAGTAAGATGCCTCCGCCCCTCGGTCTCGTCACAAATGTAGAATCTGCGCGCGCTCCATCCTTTCTCCCACCGCCCGACGCTCAATTATGCTCCGATTTACCAAGAAACTTGAGCATCGACGCGATGCGACCCCCGATCCATTCAACAGAATCAGAAACAGGGCCGATATGAGCTCAATCCATCGCAATTTATGTCCAAAGATTCACCCAACACCCATCGAACATACGACGAGGAAACATGCACCCGGCGACAGAGTGCGCGATGCGGCCAAGAGCGGGCAGGCCTGGGCAGACAGACACAAGCGGCTTGTGTCTGTCTGCCATATGTAGGAGCCACAGATTATTTTGCTGCACTCCATTAACAAACTTGAACAAATAACTGGCAAGATGATGAATTTGAAGCAACTGCACACGAGTTCATTTCATCATCCATTCGAGAAATTCGATCGTTAAAAGATCATCATGTCTCAGAGTTCCCGTATGGATCTTGAATCTTGAAAGTTCTACCCGTTCAGTCTTTCAGACCCGTTGAATTCAACCGTTTAGTCTTTAAGATCTGGTATATAATGGATCAAAGCAGCGAGCAATGCTGCCCTTGAGAGCATCGTTTAGATTATGCTCACGCCCGCTGCCCCTTCGTTCCGAGTAATGAATTCGTGATCGGGGAGGAAAGATTGTGCTTCATCGTCGTGCCATGTTTTCAGATGTTTGAGTGAGACGGTTCATGAATTGAGAGCACCGCATTTGCATAAGGAGCTGTAGCGGAAGTTAGTAGAGCACCTCATTCAAGTGCGTGATGTGATCATTGTGGACTCTTCTGATCCTGTTGGTACGTTGGAATCCTCGGCCTCGGGGTTCATGTTCTTACGAGTGTTACTCTCACTGTCAGATTGTTGGACTTACAACCTTTAGCAATTTCAGACATTTTGACAGTCAGAAACAGCATCGTAATTTGTTCAACACTCTGACATTATCGATCGGCAGGCGGTCTAATGCAAAGGAAATTTGCCTCTTATCGTCCAGTGTTTCTGTCTATTTTCAAAATATTTTACGTATATATTGTACCGACCTCAACGTGCGTTGCTGCTTTCAGGTCCTGCTGAAGGTCTTTTTCAGAAACCATTTTACGAGTCGCTTGCGAGGGCCCTGCGACCCGGTGGTGTGGCCTGCACGCAGGCAGAGAGTATATGGTTGCACCTTCCAATTATTAAGGAAGTCGTATCTATTTGCTCTGGAATATTCACTGGTTCTGTCAACTATGCGTGGACGAGTGTCCCAACCTATCCAAGGTATGCTATCCATAGGTTCCCTAGCTTGTTTGGAGTACATGTATTCGCCGTCGCTTTGTGAAAATGTATACACAAATGTATAATATGGTTTAGAACATCTTCACATGCTGTACAAGTTCCGTAGCGTATGTGGCTCATTGCAACTTATCTTTGTATATAACCGTGGGCATCTGTCTATCTGCCCAGTGGAGTGATTGGGTTTATGCTTTGCTCAACCGAGGGTCCAACAAAAGTGAATTTTAAGAAGCCCGTTAATCCCATTGAAGGGATTGTTACGGGTGAAGCTGCGAAGTCTAGACCAATGAAGTATTATAACTTGGAGGTTGTCTTCCATCTTTCGTTACTTGTTTTGATGTCTTCACTTTGTCAAAATTTGAAAGTTCTTTTGCTAGTACACCTTATTTCTGTGTATATTACTTTCTAACATGTGCAATGCTACTCATGTTTACTGGTATACTCATGTATTGAACCTCGGATGATTCTATGTGACAGGTCCATGAAGCGGCATTCATTCTTCCTCAATTTGCGAAGAGCTTCTTGCAGGATTCTCTCAGTACATGAGTCCTGTTTCGAGAGTAACAATAGTCTGTCAAAGGGCATTACTTGTTAGATGATTCCCTCGATTAGTTGAATCTTCTTCCTTTTATTGTAAATTGAGGTGAGACGGAATCCGGAAGAATTTTGTGTACCATTCCACCAGAAATATCTTCGCAGTAAAGATACCTTCCATGCCAGTGAGCTCTGCTTGAAATGACAGAAAGGATTATCCTGAGGTCGTTTACTGATATATGGCTTGTGTGGTCTACAGCTTACAGAGAATATTGAGGGAGAGTATACAAATGACTGCCAGTTTAAGGGTGATAAGTTAGTCTCGAGGTTTCAAGGTCCGTGTACAAGAGGTGTGATCGGCTGTTCCAGGAATTGGTCGCTGGTTGCCCTCGTAAGTGTTGTCAGCTTTGCCAATTTTTTGCACTAGTTAAAGGATAATATTTTTTATGCAGCTCAAAAATATCCGATGTACTATATATGCGCTTTGCCAATCAGGATTGATCCACATTGTTGAATGCATCCATGTGATCGAAGACTGTGTCTATATTTAGCTGTTGCAATTCATGTGCTTCGTTTCAAACTTGTAGTATTGACATAGGTTAATGTCAGCATGCTGTACATTCGCTTTAGAGTTTCAACTACATGTGTTTCGTGAGATAATTACATTTTTTAACTTTATTTTGTTTAGCATAAGTACTAATTTTTGTCAGTTATTCCTGTAGGTATACTTTACTGTTTATGAGCAGCTGAAGAGACTTCTGCGCCAAGGTGATGGTAAGTTTTGAATTAACAAATAAGTTACAACAATACGTTTTCCGGGTTGGTGGCGTGTAGTTCGGAGATCATAACAATTCTTCACGTTCTGCATATAGCCATCACCACAGCTACTGTCATGCTTCGAAACGTAAAGTATCCGATCAATGTTTCTCCGCGCTCATGTGCTCAGGCTCTGGTCATGAGAAACTGCCACCTGGTAGAAATGTATTGGCAGCAGTTGGTGCAGGTTGTGCCACAAATTTGGTAACAAATCCACTGTGGGTTGTGAACACGCGGCTTCAGGTACGGAAGCGCAGTTTGTTGTTGTTAATTCTGTTAGGCCTAAAATAATTAAAGTATTCAGCAGTACCTTTGATGCTGAATTCTCCGTGGTAAACTTTCGTGGATGTTGCACTTGACCTGTTGCAGACCCAGCGCCTCAGGCCAGAATTGATTGCATACACAAACACATTTTCTGCACTTCGTCGAATCGCTCGAGAGGAAGGCATAAGAGGACTATATAGGTGAGTATGTCTAAAATTGCACGTGACTCCTTGTTTGGTGCTAACTACTCCAAAAATTTCTTTTCTATATATTAAGTAAGTTAGGGTTTAGGGTTTTTAGGGTTTAGGATTTAGGGAATATATTCTAATATGTCTTGTCATATGCATGCAGAAATTTTGAGGTGAAGCATGGCAGACCTTTCTCTCATTGCGGATTCAATCCCATACTTGTCTCCAAGTACACATGAAGACTCTATTGTTCTCTCTGGTCGGACAGCGACAACATCCACGGGTCGTAAACGAAAGGCAAAAACCTCTGCAAGTTGGGTTTGGAATCATTTCAAATTGGTGAAAGATTCTAATAAATCCCTTATCATCTGTCTTGAGCCCATAGGTTCTCATAACAGTAGATGCACTACCTCATTTTCGGCCAAAACTGGAACAAGTTCGTTGTCTCGTCATCTCCTTGTAAAACACAATATCTCAAAGGGTTACAAATCAGGCGATCCTCTGCAGACTTTTTTTGGTGTAAATGGTGAACTGCAGGATCTTTATGAGTTGGACAACGAGTCCAAAGAAGCCAATTTAAATGCCTTGGTTGCATTTGTGATGGATCACCAACAAGCATTCAACGAGACATTTCGATCATTTTGCCGACGTCTCAACCCCCATTACTCACTACCATCGCGGCAAACTCTCACACGCTCATTATCTGATCATTTTGAACGAGCATTACTACAATTTCGTTCAACTATAGATTCTATCAAGGGAGCGATTGCTCTCACTCTGGATTGTTGGTCGTCTCGTGTGATGCGTGGCTATATGGTGATTACAGTTCATTGGATTGATAAAGAGTGGAAACTTCAGTCTGTTGTACTGGAATTTCGCTATTTTCCACCTCCACACAATCAACACACTACATCAGACTTGATTCTCTCAGTGGTGAAAGATTACAACATGTGGTCCAAAATCAAGGCCATTACATCCGATAGTGGCGGCGAGATGCCACCGGCCATGGTCATTGTGAGAGAGAATCTGAATGATCAATACTCTCTTCGGTTGGAGGATGGTTTTCATATACGCTGCATTTGTCATGTCATCAATCGTGTTGTATGTGATGCTACACATTTCATCAAAAAAGAAGTGCAAATGCTCCGTCAAATACTCAAAGCTGTTCGTGGATCCGTTGCTATCCGCGTCAAGTTTTCAGAATTGGCAGTTGTGCTAGGCGTTTCCAAGGGCCGTGTTGAAGTTCCAGGTTTGGATATGGAGACACGTTGGAACACCATGTTCACTATGATTGACCAGTCATTTCAATATCGTGGTGTATTTTCAGCGCTCTGTAACTCCGAAGAATTCTGTGACCGATTGGCCAATATGGCTTTGTCCGACATGGATTGGCGTGTTCTTAAATCATGCAAAGACTTTTTGCAATCTGCGTACCATTGCACTGTCGCCGCTAGTGGACGTGACTACATTTCACTTTCTCTCCAGCCTCTGATCTACAAGCATCTCCTTACCTTGTGTGAAAAAACCCGTTCTGGACAATTAGACACTGGGTTTACCACTCCGATAGTCAAACAAGCTGCTACTGCCATGGAGCTCAAGTTGCTTAAATATAGTGCAAATCTAAATTGTCAAGCCTCCAAAATGGCTTTGCTTCTTGATCCTAGATCCAGTAATGCTTCCTCTGAAACGATGGAACTCAAAGATCAACTTCGATTCATTTTGACGATGGATTACAGCTTGTGTTTGGAGGTGCAGCCATCTCCAACTTTTGGTGTATTTGATCTATTTGCTGGAGAAGGAGACAGTGCCATTGAAAACGTTGCACACACTGACGAGGTCAATGACTTCTTCATGCTCACGGCGAAAGCGGATCGTCGTGTGTCCGACGTATTGCTATGGTGGAAACAGCATAGCAATCGTTTTCCAACGTTATCCCTGATGGCCAGGGACACGTTGATGATTCAAGGTTCTTCTGTGGTGTCTGAATCGGCATTTTTGGAGAGTGGTGGATTTGTTCGTCCTGATAGATCTAAATTATCTGATGAAAACATTGAAATGATGATGAAATTGAAAAGCTGGAACCGTTTATTCCGAGATTAAACTATTATCGGAGCTTATGTTCGGCTTTTATTTAGTTTAGTTATTTACTTTAGCTTTTATTTCTTTTATTCAGTCGAGTAGTTATTCTCGAAACTTGTGTTTGAAACATAGTTCATATACACAATTTTTATCTTTGAGTGCATCAAGGTTTATTTAGGTTGAAAATATTATCTATGCTCAAATCGTCCAATTTTAATTTTAATATATTTTTCTCTAGAAAATTTCATTATTCTATTTTAAATACGAATTATATACCTGTAGGCTTGGCCTACAGGTATATAATTTTTTCACGAATTGTTACAACTCAGCTCGAGTCGCTGAACTCTGAAAGTCCAGCCGTGGGCTCATTTGAGTCGCGGCCCACCTCTTTCCCTCCGCCATCGAGAATTTTTGGTTTTTAGGGCCCCTCCCCATCGGTCACGTAGGGGTCCGGACCAATGGTTAATCGGTTAACCATCGGTATGTCATTAGTCCAAAAATTTCCTCTGGCAGCAGAATTAGACCAGCGAGGTACCCAATTCGTGATCCAGTGTGAAAAAATTCGCGAGAAAATTTTTTCACGAATTGGTACAACTCATCTCAAGTCGCTGAACTCTGAAAGTCCAGCCGTGGTCTCATTTGAGTCGCGGCCCACCTCTTTCCCTCCGCCATCGAGAATTTTTGGTTTTTAGGGCCCCTCTCCATCGGTCACGTAGGGGTCCGGACCGATGGTTAATCGGATAACCATCGGTCTGTCATTAACGAGGTACCCAATTCGTGATCCAGTGTGAAAAAATTCGCGAGAAAATTTTTTCACGAATTGGTACAACTCAGCTCAAGTCGCGGCCCACCTCTTTCCCTCCGCCATCGAGAATTTTTGGTTTTTAGGGCCCCTCCCCATCGGTCACGTAGGGGTTCGGACCGATGGTTAATCGGTTAACCATCGGGACCGGTTAAAATATCAGTTAACCGTTAACCGATACGTATAAATCCTGGACCGGTTAACATACTTGTTAACTGGTTAATTGGACCGGTTAACCGGTCCACAAATTTATCTATTCATGAAAATATTATCTATTCATCTTCAATTTGTGGTTTCTAAATTAATTTCAACTCTTTATGTTTTATTATAATTTATAGACTTCTCAAATCGTCCAATTTTGATTTTGATATATTTTTCCACAAAAGAAGTCATTTTTCTGTTTTAAATATGAATTAAATATTTCAAGGTTTCATTTTTTGCCAATTAGTACTTGAATATTTTTCTTTTTTCTTTTGAGGTCTATTTATATGCTAAAAATCACTTTTGACATATTTCATATATACAATTTTTATCTTTGAGTGCATCAAAATTTAATTAGGTTGAAAATATTATCTATTCATCTTGAATTTGTGGTTTCTAAATTAATTTCAACTCTTTATGTTTTATTATAATTTATAGACTTCTCAAATCGTCCAATTTTGATTTTGATATATTTTTCCACAAAAGAAGTCATTTTTCTGTTTTAAATATGAATTAAATATTTCAAGATTTCATTTTTTGCCAATTAGTACTTGAATATTTTTTAAATTTTACATTTAATGTATGTTAATTTTTGGGATTGTTTTTTCTATTCACTAAAGAACAATTTATGGGTTTTTTTAATAAAAAAATCATTTTTCATT